GGGGGGGAGCGGCGGTAACCGGGCGAAGGGCTGGCTCCGGGCGTGGGGCTCACGCCGGGACTCCCCGCTTCGTTCTCTGGGCCTTGCCTGTTCCCTCGGCGGGGGTTCGGTCACTGCTCTGGCTGGGATCCTTCCCTGCCCCCCTTCCCCTCAGGGCAGGTCCCTTCCTCCCCCTTTCCCCCCTCCTTTCCCCTCAGGGCTGAATTTCTCCGTCCCGGTCCCTTTCTTCCCCTCCCCGGGGCCGGCCCCGCTCCCTCCTCTCCTCGGGGTGAGTGGCTGGCCCCGGTGCGGCCCTCCTCTCCCTTCCGGCTCTGAGTTCATGCTGATGTCCCACGTGTGCCCCCCCCTGTAGGGAGGTGAAGAGGTGGGGGGGTACCCAGGTACAATTTTCTGCCGCTGCTCTCCGTGGGCTCTCTTCACCGGCTCGTTTCAGGTACCCTGGGCTGTGTGTTTATACTGGGGAAGAAAAATAGCGTCGGCTCCGGAGCTGGTGGTGAAAGGCAGAGATAAGCTTGCTCTTCTCTTCTGACCCCCGTCTTGTTGTGGAAACACTTAGTACCTTTGGGACATCTTGACATTTCGGGCATCTGCTGTAGGAGCTGCTGCAAAAAAGACCCAAAACAGCTGTCCTGAAAGTTGAGGGATCTGTGTAAGAGAGAATCCTTCTCCTCCTCTTCCCTCCTCTTTTTATTGCAGTGCTAACTCAGCTTGATGGGAGAGAGCAAACGCTGGAAGCACTAATGTACAAAGCATTTATGTAGCGGAGGTGCCTTGTGGGTGTTTCTGCCTCTGGACCTTCACTCATTCCCCCAAACGGGTGGAGGAAGGTCGGGGTTTCACTAAAGTATGGTGAGGCTGAAGAGCCATAGCTAACTCCAGCATGCGTGTGAAGAGAGGAGCGTGAGCTCACCCGGGCAGCGCTCCCGCACACTGGTTTGGGATGGGCGAAATGTAGGTCAGCTTAAAAAGTCCCTGTCGTCTCGTGGATCTGCTGCCTTTGCAGCTGTGCTCGCTGGAACCCTGGCATGGCCCTTGGGCAGATAACGGCACCTGCGAGTCTGGCCCAGGAAGTGTTTCTTTTCATCTCACCTTTGCTTTATGACCTGAAGTGGTGTCTTCGAATGTCTTCTAATATCTTATCTTAGAGTCTTACGGAAAAATATTAGAAACATAATTTCCCTATGAATAAGTTTAGTTGTGGATATTTCTTTTCACCTTCTTACTGCTTGTTAAGCAAAGTTCATTTTCTTACATGAAGTGTTACAGTTCAGTCACTGGTTTGAGACCTCTGATGCTTTAAAAAAGAAAGCTGATATTGCTGCTGTGCACTCTTACTTCCATTATTGAGGTGTAATGCTCAGGGACTATAACTCAGCTGTCTGTGTGCTTTTCACAGCATCTTTTCTTGTGTTTCTTTTCCAGCTTACTGACAGCCACACAGAGCAGCAGACTCATCTAGCTGTATTTCAGGCAGCAATCCTAAAAGCAGTAGCTAATTGCCTTGGTGGTTGCAAGGCATGGGCAGCCTTAGTGCTAAGACCTATGAGCACAGCCCTGTATCTCTATTCGGTCTCTGGGGTGGTTGGCTTATCTTTCTTACAACTTCTGTTATTTCAGGCAACATACTTTGGAGCTGTTACATGTTTCTGGTGGTAGTGATGGAGCAGAAGATGGGTGTCCTCCATAAGGCTGATAGGCTGGGCTTTGCATGCTCAGTTATAGAGCAAGCTCTTCCCCCTTCCAGAGAGGATGTCATAAGAGCTTTTTCCTTCCAGTGACCTGTTTGGAAAGTGAGGGGGGATATTTGAGACCCATCACTCTGCAGACCAACACCTTGAGCAGGTTCTGGTATGTCCCTGTACAGGTACCGGGCCGTAGAAGTGTGCAGCCCAAGCTGTATGGCAGAACACGTTTTTCTTTAGGACTAGTAGAATTCTAGGGACAGCTTTTAATTACGGAACGGTGGGATTTACGGCTTTAATCTGAGCTTTTCATTTCTAGGACGAATGCTGTGCAGAAATTCCACTGCCTTACATCAGGCCTTTCGATATTGTAAACATCTTAATAGATTTCATGTGCTGGGTGTCTGCATGGTGCGACTAGATGCTAATAAACAGTCATCTTGACAGGAGTTTGTGCCTGAAATACCGAGACTTGGGAAAGGACTCAGACCCACTTCCTGAAGAAGATCTGTAGAGACATTCAGCCCACTTGGTAGTGCTGCATTTTGGTAATGAGCCTTCTTCCATCTCTTTTTTTTTTTTTTTCTTTCCTTCCTAGGATGTTTTCCTGTCATCCTGGCTGCAGGCATACTTCTCGGGCAACTGCAACAGTCAGGGCATGAATAACAGTTCCTGGAAGAGCAGTTGGGGCAGGCTTTACTGATGATAAGGTACACTCTGGTTTCCAGCAGGGTGCTGGCAGCCTGTTCCTGGGCTTGTGTTTCAGAAGCAGCCTTGGAAGTCCAAATTCCTGGGTAGACCAATGCTTTGTCTGCCTGAGAATGCAGTGGGCGTTACTGCTGCCGGCGAGCTACGACCGCTGGCAGTGTGGCTGTGCTTTCAAATTGAACACAAATTGCTGAAAAAGTCCTGTGGCAAAAATAGGTGGAGCGAGCACACAACTCCGGCAACTTTGGTGTAGCTGGAGAGAGACAGGAAGTGTATCTCAGGGGCCAGGACCTGATTAGCAAGCCTGAGTAGTCGCACAAACCCAAGTGCGAGAGATGTGGAGCCCTTTGGGTGTGTTTTAGTGCCTGCTGGAAGAAGCTTCCATTCATTAATTTGGAATGGGTGTCTTATTTGTATTTATTTCTTTTTAAAGTCATTGTGAGTGGTTTACTGTGTCATAATGCTGGCAGCTCGGCACAGCGATGGGCGTTGGGACTTGCCACCGGCTGCATTTTTTTGGGGACAGTCAGAATTACGCCACTAATTCCTCCCGTCAGAAGCTTGGGGTTTTTTGCACGTGGATTTGGTCTGGAGATATTTTAAGTCTCCATTTAAATTATTTAATTCAGACAACTACTTAAAGGAGAGGTACTAGTAGTCTCAGAAGTCTGTGTGTGCACTAAAATGATAGTGTTGTGTATTGCCTGCCTTGGTCGATGGGTGGGTTTTTCAAGCTGTTACGTATAACTTCAGTTGCTCTCAGTAGGATCTATTCTTTTTTTTTTTTTTTTTAGTACAGTGAGCAGTGGAAGGTGTGAAACATGCCACTGAGTCGTGACACTTAACCTTATCTCCTGGACTCCTACTGGAAGATAGATATCTGGGTACTGATGTGGTAGTTCCTGTGTTTGAAATGGAGCTAAAGCTAAATAATGTGCTGATCAGCATTACTCTGAGGAGAAGTAGTTTTGTTTTAAGCAAGTTACTGGGTCAGGAAAGTCTAGGGGAAATAGGGGAGGGATAGGCAGGGAGAACAGGAAAAAAAGAAAAGGGCCACTTAGCAGTGTCCAGGTGGCTTGAATAAGTTATTCTTGTCAAAGCAAAGAGATGTGAGATAACGGAGTGTTTTACTGAGCTGGGATAATCTTGTTCTCAGCAGCCTTCATGTCACTTAGAGAATCTGAGGTTTATTTTGGAATCTCTCAGGAGTGATGTTTTTCCTCTGGGTCAGTGCTTAAGAGCTTGTGGTGATTTTAAATTTGTAACGATCCTTGAGAAAGCTTAATTTCCAAGGACTAGAAATCATGTTTCTACTGAATGACACCCTTATCCTAATTACCAGCGTTGCTGTGGTTCCTTCCCCGTGTTTGTGAGGGGAATTGTCAGTGGAAAAAGCACTGGGCTTTGGGGAAAGATTTCAACATAGGGCAACTGCTACCTGAAGTCATGATGCCTTCTCATAGTGTTTCTGACCCAAGTTGGGGGAAATTTAAATGAAGCATGACTTCCTCGCTGGCTTTGAGAGAGCCCAACTCCTTTGCTGATGCCAATGATGCCTGTCTGTTCACGAAGTGACTTCTGGAGGCTGTTTTCCTCCCTTGTAATGAGGAGGAAAGTTGATGAGCTGAAATAAATCTGGGAGTGTATGTAGGTGTCAGGGTGACCTGAAATGTTTTCAGTTGCCTTCTGTGGACGAGTGCTGGATTGCTCACGCTGTCTGCCTACCTCTGTAAGGAGGCCAAGCTACTGTTTGCATTTAGATAAACACTTGGACAAGATCTGTAGAGGCATCATGTGATATTACTCCATAGTATAAAAGGTGATGAGGATTTGTACTAGCTAGAATCTTTGCTTGGGGAATATAAGGATGGAAAATGGCCTCAAGTAATATATTTTGTCTAAAGCTCTTCTCACACTTCTCTCCTATACTGCTTTGTAAATACTGACATGCTCTTACCAAGCTGGTGATGCTCTTATTGCTGTTTTTCAATTGGAAAAAGGAAGACAGCAGCTAGGTTTTTGCAGCCTTTGCAAAACCAGAGTTAGGAACAGATTCATGCTTCTACTTCCAAATACCATCCCAAAGATGTGATGGATTTTTACATTTGATGAAGGAGGGGAGGGAACCCTCCTTGATGCTTCTTGCAGACAGTTTTTGCTTGAAGGTACCTGGAGGCCAGTAGTGGAAGGAGCGCTTACCCTCATCCCCGTGGCAAGTACAAAATGTTGTTGGCTAAACGTGTTACCATGGGATAGCAGAGCGAAACAGGCAGCGATGTTGACAGCTGCCTGCAGCAGAGCAGCGATGCTGCCTAGAAGACTTTCCTCCTCTCGCCGTATTATGCTGTAATGCAATTTGAGGAAGATGACAGCAGCAGCATAATGGGGAGGCAGGAAAATAAGCTTTTTCTCCCTTGCAGGAAACCAGCAGTGTAGGGTGTTTCATACCTCCCCTGCTGCTAGGATTTCCAGCTACAGATGAACAAGATGGGCAAGACCCATTACCAGTAACTTGGATAGCATAAATAGTTCATGTCCTCTCTATATTGTTAAACCGGAATCCTATTGTAGTGGAGCAGGCTTCATTGTGTATAAACTGGGAGGTGCCCTTGGATCAGCCACGACTAGCACAGACCAGCTTGCAAGGGCTGGAACGCACCTCACACTTAAACACGCTGTCTGAAGAGTGCTCCTCAGCTTAATGTTTTTGTGTTTGTTTAGCAGTTTGTGGCTGCTTTTACTGACCCTCTGTCCCAGATGGTTTAATAATCTGTTTGATGCTGTACTGTTGCAACACCCAGGAAAAGAATTTATATTCTGCTATGTGAAGGCTTAAACAGTGTTGGACACTTGACTGCGATGACTAAGGGGTAGGCACGCAAATCTGCAGCCTGGATACAGTCGTGTCCTTAGAAAATAGTCTGACTGCAGCCTGTGTAACCTCTTAGCTGTGGCCTGTAGTTGTGCTGATAGTCTTCCGTAGGCAAAATATTTATTATCCTTGGGATGAAATTGTTAGGTGCCTTGTGGTCTCTTAAATCTGCATGACTGTTGACCTAGAGAATTAATGTGTAGTGCTTCTTTCCTTGATTTTTAGCTGGCCAACTGATAACTTGTTCATTTGTGAACTTTAATAGACTCAGAAAAGAATAATGTTGAATGTGGAGCATCTCTAAATCTGGCCATGA